TTGAGAAAGGGTTTCCCTGTGCAGTTCGGGCTGGCCTTGAGCTCACTTTTGTAACCCCCAGGCTGGTCTCGAACTCGGAGAGATCCTCCTGGCTCAATCTCCCGAGGGCTGGGATTGCAGGCATGTGCTACCATGCCCGGTTTCTAATTTATGCTTTGGTCCTGGGAATTGAACTCAGAACCTCGTGCTTGCTAGGCAGGCGCAAGGCCGCTGAGCTACATCCCCGAACCTTAAGTTCTAATTTAAATAAATGCATAAAAGCAACTGCAGTGCAGCGTGGTGCCCCGTGCGACGTCCTGCGGCCACCTGCGTGCGTGGCGGCCACGCAGCACACTTCTGTTCGCAAGCTTTCTGCCGCCTCGGGGTGTTCTGCCACACAAGTGAGCCACTGCCCGAGGCGGGCTGGGCCCACACGCTGAACGTGTAGAGACTCTTCCAATCTCAGCCAGGGAAACTGAGGCGCAGGTGGCTGGAGCAGCCCACAGAGCAGGAGGGGGCAGAGCTCTGTGGGGCAAGACCCGCACCCCATGCACATGTGGCCTCTGTGTGGCCTGGGAGGCCACGTGTCCCCCCAGGCCCGGGCCACCCAAGTCCTCCCTGCAGATGCGGGTCTGGCACTTCTCAGCCCTGGCACCCTCCCCAAAGCCTCCTCTAGTGTCCCTCAGAACAAGCACGATCCAGACTCCGGCAGGGGCCGCCCAGAGTCGCGGAGTAAATGAGTTCTTCCTCTGACTTTACTTCTTTCCTTCCTTCCCCCCTCGCTCCCTCCCTCTCTCTCGTTCCTTCCCTCTCCCTTCCTCTCTTTCTACCCTCCCTCCCTCCCTCCCCCTTTTCCTCCCTCTCTGTTTTCCTTTTCTTTGCACATGGTGAGCCCATATCCAGGGTAAATGCCCTTACATCCATCCCATGATTTGGCCCGTGGAAAGCATTTCCAGCTGACCTGTACTATAAGGTAATTCCTCCCTGATGTCCGTGTCCCCCGCCTCTGGAAGCGCCGCCACTAGGGGCAGGGGCAGGAGAGCCCTGCAACCATGAGGACCCCCGCGCGAGGACCCCACAGTGGCTGTTGCCATGGAGGCCAGTTTCTGTGGCCCCACCCTGGGCTCACCTCTTGCTGTCCACGATGGGGACCCGCCACCCCTTAATCTGGCTGAGCTCCGTGTCAGAGATGTCAATCTGCAGGGGCAACCGGGGGACCCACACAGTGACGTGCAGCCGGGCACTCAGGTACTGGTACGTGAAATTCACCACTGCGTCCACCTTGCCCTTAATCTCTTTGCCGTTGACGAAGACATAGTCACAGTGGTCAGAGACCTGCGAAGACAGGGGGACAGAGGGGCAGAGAAGTCGCAGGGGTGGCCCCCACGCATCCTTAGTTCATTTTCTTTTCTTTTTTTTTTTTTCCTTTTTTGTGGTACTGGGGGAAGAACCAACAGCCTTGCGCTGCTGGCCACTGCGCTCCCACCGCGCCTCTGTCAGCTCCACTTGCCTTACAGAGCCGAAGAAGGGGTGTGGCGCAGGTGGTGTAATCCTGGTGATCTTGGAATCAGGGACAAGGAGGGTGCAGGATCCGACCGAATGGGAGGAGACAGACGCAGCAGGAGGCGGTGCGTGCGAGGCTGCCCCTCCGCTCAGGGTTTCTTGAGGCTCCTTGCGAAGCACCCGGAAGGGCCCAGCGGGCTAGGAGGTGGGACAGGATGCGCCAGCCCCTGCCTCGCACGGGCGCGGGGTGCCCGCCTGAGCCAGTTCGTGTCTTGGCCAGCGATCTGCGCCCCAGCTGCAGGGCGCCCGGGAAGCGGTCTCAGCCGCCGGTGCGCTCCGGCCTCCCAGGAAATGCGGGCCACGGCGCGCCCTTCACACAGCGTCCTCACCGTTCTCCGCTCTCCCCTCTGCCCACACAGTGCCCGTGTCCCTCGGGCACCCCAGCTCCGTGCACGCGCGGCCCCTTGCCCAAGTCCCGGCTCGGTGCAGACCAGGTGCCTGGCTGGGCCTCCGCCGATGCCCGGGATGGCTTCTCTGCTGGAGTTTGCGTTCCGGGCAGGAAGGGCAGGATTGTGCGGCAGACCCTCAGCCTGCAGCCCTTCCCTCAGCTGCCCTTTGTTTTCCCGTGTTTAGCAGATTGTCTCTTTAGGAATGGGTGACCCAAACCGGAGAGAAATTGGACGCAGAAAGAAAACAATTGGAAGAGCCCGCCAGCAGCTGGCCCTGGGCTCTGCGGCTGCCACTCAGATGAGCCACGCCCGCCCCCGGCCACGCCCAGGCTGGGGAGGAGCCGGCAGGAGAGGCCGGCCCCAAGGCGGGGCGGGGCCACGTGAGAGAGGGCGCCTGCGCAGGGAGGAGGGAACCGTGTGTGGGAGGGAGGAGGGAGGAGGGAGGAGGAGGCCATGTGTCTGTGGCTGGTGAGCGGAGGGCGAGGCCATCGGTTCCTCTCCCAGTGCCTCGGCGCAGCTATGCACCCTGGAGTTAGTCCAGGACTCTCTGTCACCCCAACGAACAGAAAACCCCAAACAGAAACCAAGTGGACTTATTGGGAGACAGCAGATCTGTTGTGGGCATGCAAGTTTATGGGATGAGATTGAACTTGGCCCGTGCTTCTGTATCTCTTCTCAAAAATGCGACATATTTGAAGGCAAAATCTGACATCACATTCATCTTCAAATCTCTTGGTTCCATATACCAGCTTCTCATGAAGCAGGAGCACAGCAAAGTGAATATTGGATGGATAGATGGATGGGTGGATGGATGGATGAACAGACAGGTGGCCAGATGGGTGGACAGATTGATGGAGTATGGACGGATGGAGGGCGGGAGGAGGGCTGCATGATGGGAGGGGGGTGGGTGGATGGACACATAGATGGAGTATGGACCAGTGGAGGGACGGATGCGAGCAGGGTGGATGGATGGATGGACAGAAGGTGGCCAGATGGGTGGACAGATTGATGGAGTATGGACGGATGGAGGGCGGGAGGAGGGCTGCATGATGGGAGGGGGGTGGGTGGATGGACACATAGATGGAGTATGGACCAGTGGAGGGACGGATGCGAGCAGGGTGGATGGATGGATGGACAGAAGGTGGACAGATGGGTGGACAGATTGATGGAGTATGGACGGATGGAGGGCAGGAGGAGGGCTGCATGGGTGGGTGTGGATGGACAGATAAATAGATGATGGAAGGATAAAAGGGCAGACAGACAGACAGATGGACGGATGAGTAGACCCTTTCATGAGGATGCCTGCTTCACCAAGGACCTGGGAGTAAGACTCTGAAGAGACACAGGAGAAGCAGTGGGGACGTGACAGTCCATCTGGACACATCGTCCAGCAGCTCCCGGCAGTGCTCCGCCACCTCTCAGGTCACTGGCTCCCACGAGGGCACACAGAGAGCTAGTTCTGCTGCAGAAGTGCAGAGCCACACAGGTGAGCGGCACGTCTCGGGGCAAATGAAGTCACTCGAGTGGCACTTTCCACGCTGAGCTCTGATTGCCACGTTGCTTGTCTGTCTCCTCCTAGATTGAGAGTTCCGGATGGAGCGGGGTTCCTTCTGGGGGTCTGTGGCCTCAGCGAAGGGATGTCCAGCGCTGAGCCGTGGACTCTGGTGATTGACCACTGTTATGGTTTGTGTCTAGTTGTCCCCCCAAAGCCTCATGCAGTCGTGGGGCGGGGACTTCTAGAATTTGAGATTAACTCATGGTCCACTGGGATTATGGATGATCCAAGGCTCGGATTATGGGGTTTAGTACTGCTGGGATTATGGGTGTGAGTACTTCCCCCAGCCTGAGGCAGAGAGCCTGAATATAACATAAGAGAGACAGAGAGACAGACTCTGTTGCACTGTCACTGCTCCTCCTCCATTTTGCTTGGCTCTCTGCCACTGCCATGAGAGGCTGCCCTCAGCCATGCGCCGCTCTGCCCTGGAGCCAGCCGAGTGTGGGCTGAAACCTCAGTAACTGTGAGCTACATAAACCTCTCCTGCCTTCATTTTGGGTGTCAGGTATTTTGTCCCAGCAACGAGAGAAGAGTAACTGAGACAACCACCCTGTGCCCAGCTTTTGGGGCCCCGGATGGCCACTTCGGGGCTGGGGTCATTTCTGTCTCACGCTTCTGCTGCAGGGCCAGCTGTCGAGGCTGGGCTGCGAGAATCTCCTCCCCTGCTGCGGCGGGACGGGGCTGGTGGTGGGACGGGATGCATGCAGGTCTTCTCGCTCTTGGTCCAGAGCAGTTTAAGGCTGACTCTGTGCCGAGCGGGATGGAAAGTGATTGGAGCCAGGGTCTCCGACTTGTCGTGAGCGTGTCCACATGGCCCTGGATCTGGCAAGGTGTCAGCATAATAGCTGAGCCCGAGCCAGAGCAGCGCTCCCATCTTTAATCAGTGTTGTAACTTACGGACCATTGACGTTTCTCATTTAGCACCTTTCCAAGCCTGGTGGGCAGGAACACAGCCTCTCCAGAATACACAAATAAGGGACAGGAAAGGCAGAGGCATGAGCTTCGCTGAGCCAACAGCCGACAGCGTCATCACTGTCCCTGTCCCCGTGCTCTCGAAGGTGCCCCACATGGCTGAGGAGGTCCTGGGACATTCACTGCCTCCGCAGTGGCTCTCAGCTGCAGCCGCAGCCCCACAAGGTGCGCGGGCTCTTCTACAAGAAGGAGCCAGGTTCCTGTCGTCGCAGCTCCCCGGGAGGCTGAGGCAGGGGGATCCCTGAGCTGAGGTCAGCCTGCTGTCCCTGCCTAAAACCACACTCTCAGAACCTCCTCACGGCCTGCTCTGCGTTGCCCTCCCTGTCAGCACTCGCCGCCTGTGTATTCGCCTGCTCCTCTCGGTGGCTGTCCGTCTTCTCTCACCAGAACCCAGGTTTGGGGTGCGAGGACTTTCACCCCTTCTGTTCCGTGCTGTGTCCACAGTGCCCAGAACTGCTCCTGGCAGTGCTGCCCCTCTGTGATGCCATAGTAGGGAGGGCTGGGTCGGTCGAGCTTCCAAGCTAGGTCTTCTGAGCCTGCACAGTCCTTCTCTACCAAATGGGTCACCAGGGTGAAATCCCACTGCCTTCAGCTTGTCACACTCTGGCCCTGGGGACAGGTGAGTCTCCTGCCCTGGGGACAGGTGGTCTCGTGGTTGCTGAGTGGTAGATGGTAGCTGGGTGGCCTGATCAACAGAGGACTAGATGGATGGCAGGATGGATGGACAGCGAGGAGGGAGGGTGGGTGAGTGAGTGGAAGGATGACTGTGTCAGCAGAAGGAGGGACGGAGGGACGGAGGGACGGAGGGACGGAGGGACGGAGGGACGGAGCGACGGAGGGACGGAGGGACGGGGATGGGGCATGGACAGGTGTGCAGGCCTGCAGATGGTGGATGGGAGGTATCATGCAGCGAGAGATGGCAGCAGCCACAGCCGGCTCGAGCGGCCGTAATGGCAAGCCCCAACTGTGCAGGGCGCCTTCCTCCCGTCCCATGCGTCCCTGCGCCGTCCGCTCCCACGCCCATGAGGGAGGAAGGGACGCAATCCCATGGGAAAAGCAGCCCAGGGGCGGCTGCAGTCCACCAGGAGGGGCACAGAGGTTGGGACGGCCCGGGCTCCCAGGATGCACCCTCCTGGCCCCGCCCGCACCTGGGTTGTGCCCAGAGCTGCAGGAGGCTTGTCCTTCCCAGGCGGGAGCAGTCACCACTGCCCGTTCCTGGAGAGGCAGCGACAGTCAGCGCCTGCCCCTGCCCGGGCTGCCCCGCTCCTCGTGCCGGCCACCGCCCAGCTCTGCCCAGCTCCTGCCCCACCCGGACAGCACCCTCCACACTGCCCCAAGGGAGGAAAGAGCCCTCGCCTGTGCTGTCCTCCTGGCTCCCGGCGTCCGCGGGACCCGCTTCCGCCCGTCCCTGGGCTGCTCCCCATGGCAGCTCTCGCACGCTCTGCCGACGCTGCTTACGGGCCGCCCCGCCTCGCTTCCCACAGCGTTGCCCGACTGGGCCCTTTGTGCAGAAACTCTCCCACGGTTCCTGACCAGGCTGGAGTCTTCTTTCCGTCCAGGTCATGACGTAACATGGTCTCTTGAGAGAGACTTTCTCTGACTAGAACCTATCCATCCGTCCTCACCTGCCCACCAGTCTGTCCATCCCGCACTTGCCCGTCCATCCATTTACCGTCTCTGATTCATCCGTCATCTCTCTGCGCATCCATCTGGTCTGCCCCTCCTCCCAGACTTTCTGTCTACTCAGCTCTCTACTGTCTGTCTATCTTCTGTCTGTCTATCTATCATCCATCTATCACCTATCTCATGCCGTCTGCCTATCCACTCGTCTTCCATCCCCCACCCCCATCTTCTAT